GTTACTTATTATTGTAATACAACAATAAATCAACCAATTAAATATTATCTGGTCCCATAGCGTTTTAGTGACGTAGTTCTTTCTCTCCCTCTCCACTTGATGGAACATAACGATTTATACGCCCCATGATGTTCGTGTGACATTCGTTAACATTTTTTGACATGATAAAATATATAGTTTTTTAAAGGAATAATAAAAAATAATAAATACCGATGACAAGTTATTACGGATAATATCAAAATTTGTCGGTCTCGGTCGTAAGTTTAAGTTTGCCGTGTATAAATATTCCAGGGTGATAAATTAACGGAATAAAGTAGTTTCTATTTTCAGTTATGTAAGTTTAATAATAAATTATTCCCCAACAAGTGTCAACATTTGATGGGATATATTATATTTTCAGTTTAAATATTCGTGTATTTCATTATAGAGTTTATTATTTTACATATTATATTTAATGAAAAAAAGCCATTTCTTTGTATAAATATAATTATACTTTGAAAACGAGAGAGGAATAGAGAGAGAGAGAGAGAGAAAGAAAGAAAGATTACTTGAAATAAAATAAAACCAAATTTTTGAGTTTCATATTAGAAACACGGCTGTAAATCGAGGTAGTCGACATATTATTATTATTTCCTAGTTAAATATATTTAAAATAAAATGTGACTAATTAAATATTTTACTTGCGATTGTTCCATAACGCATGTTTTCATCAAGTCTCTGGTTGGTTAGTTATAGAAAGATAATAAAACGATACAGAGTTTTTGTTTTTGTCATACAACTTATATCTCGTTTTTTACCGATTAATTTATGAATTTAAAACGACCTGGGCTTTGTGTTGATGCTATAATAGACAGTATATAGGTTAGGTTAGGATATTATAAAACACATCATGTGCCATTCCCAATAGTTCTTTGAAAACGATGTGATCAATATTTTTATAACAAATGTTTTAAAAATCTAATAATCATTTCATAGTATTTTTATCCAAATATAATTGTTATTTAACCTTTAATATTTTTTAATTCTTATCATTGTCACTGTAAAATTATGATTTTATAAGAATGTAAGCTTAAGTATTTAAATTATGTTTGACATTTATATTGAATTTCAAAAGTGTTATTATAAAATAGTTTTTAAAACGATAAAAAAATGTACTTCGTATTCATATTTGGTTAGTCATACTAATTATAAAATTAAATTAAATGATACCATATACGGATTAGTTTTTAGGCATTTATGGTGTAGACCGTTTTGTATTTTTATTACTTGTGATACAAACTTTCACACTCACTTTTAACGTGAATATATAACATTTACTCTCGATATTACAGTATGTTACAGCTTTAAAGCATTAGTAGTTGAAATAAAATGTATTTAATATTAAATTAAACTAACTGTAATACAGTTTTTTTGACAAAATCGTATTTTATATTACCTCGTATATCAGATACATTTATATATATATATATATATACAAAATCTATGAATACATTTATAATAATGAGAATTAAAATTATTTATAACATAATGAAAAGCTCTTTCAAAAATATATATTCTATTTCAACAAATAATTCTTTGATGACAACCGATAATCTCTAAAATGGCTCCCAATACTTGCTAACATAGAACCTAGAACCTCATTTACGAAGACAAAATTGTGTACTCAGAGAAAAAGAGAAAATCGACAAGTATTTAGATCTCCCAATCTACGAAGGCGGACTAGAAAACCCAAGACTAAAGTCACAGAAGCCTTTTGTGATGAGATCCAATGAAATCGCTGACACAAGAAAACTCATACCAGATGGTAAGGGTAAGAAGAATGGGCAAGAAAAAAACTTGGGGAAGGAGCAAATCTCAAAAGTGCACGTAACCTAATAGCCGGAATGAACAAATCAAGAAAAATATGGACCAGACTACAAGAACTAGGCAAGGAAAATGTAAGAATTTAATGCATAAATGGTAACTGGTAAACGACTCATATTGTGATTACGGGGAGGGTGTACAGTCAATGAACCACATAATCAAAGAATGTCCGTTGAGGAGGTACGATGGAGACCTGAAAAGCTTTATTACAGTGACATTGGAGGCAGTAGTCTAGTTGGATAAATCGGACATTGATTTGTAAAGAAAAACCCCTTTAATACGTATTATTATTCTATTTATATTTTATTTTATTTTAATTTGTCATTTAATCTATACTCTCATTAATATTGTTGTTATGCTGTACTGTGTTATGCATGTCATACGAATAAATAAATAGATAAATAAATCTCTAAAATTACTAATAAGTATACTTTCAAATATAGGTTGAGAATATATATGATGAAAGTAGGGGCGGATTGGCCTATCGGGAAATCGGGAATCTTTCTGATGGGCCGGTCCTTGTTTAGGCTGCTCTATATTATTATATAATTACCAAAAAAAGTTTTATTTTGTAAAATAAATAAAAATCATTAAACAAATAAATATATATTTAAAGATGCATTAAGATTAAACTTCAAGTTCAAGTTGTAACTGATTAATCATGTAACTTACCCAAAACTATTATAGCTATAATTATAGTAGTTATTGTAGATTTTACTAATTTAGGGGTGAAACTAAACAAAATTTGAAATGAATGCAAAATAAAACGTTTTTTTTTGGGGTGGGGAGGGGTAAAATAGTTTAATTTTCGGTTCATGGGCCGGTTTGTTTCATATTTCCTGGGCCGAAAAGAATTGCCAATCCGTACCTGGATGAAAGCATGAATTGAAACTGTCTACATAAAATCAGTGTCTTCAGCTACAGAGGTTAAAAAAACCCAATTCAGGTTTGTTTTACTTTAGTTTTATATCGAATGATACATCAAATTTACTTAAATCAAAGTTTTAAAAAAAAAAATAAATCAATAAATCAGTCAACCAAATGCAATTATGCTCACCCTTAATAATATCCCCATAGATAACAATGATTTAAAAATTAAAATTCAATTTGTGCAAGTTATTTGCAAGAAGCTAAGATAATTTACTGAATTTTCAGTGACATTGACAAGAAACATATAAACAATAAAATTACATTTTCTTGATAATTACTACATATTCATTTCACAATTAATCCTTTTATTTTAAACAAAATTACTAATGTAATAATAATAATATAATAAAGAATTATTTTCTACAAATAGAATTAGTAATTAAAATATGCATAAAGGCTTACAAATCTGTTAATTTTTTACTTTTTTTATCAGCGAAATCATATTGTAAACGTTGGTATTAAAAATTTAAACAATAAATCAATTTTTTTTTTTTGTATTTTAATTCGCTGGTAAACTGGTAGGTGCTAAAATATGTGAAAACTGTAATATCCACCTAATTCTTTGTATATGGTTGATTTTTGTTGTTGTTGTTTTAATCATCGTTAATATAAAGAATGGGTTAAGTAGTTTTTCAAGACAATGTCTTCAAAACTGTGTGGTGGATTCTGTGCATAAGGATAATATTTTAGTCATTATCATTATTATTATTCGTTTGGTCGATGTGGGTGACATATTTTTGGATAGTCGAGGTGACGATATTTTTTGATAAATGACGTAATGCTCTTAATGAGACTGCTACGTTGGAGGCAACTAACGATATTTGGCAAGATTTTCGATCTTTTGTGTACAACGATTATACCCCGAATTTCATTGTTCGACCACGCTTTTCATTTTACGAGCAGATTCAATGAACGTCAAAAATGATGGTGACACAATGCCTAAACTTTGTTTCCAAACATTTTTAGAGATTTAACTGAAGTTGCAGACTACGCTTGAAATGTTTACATCCTTGTAAAAACACCTGCGTCATAAATGAACCCACAAATGTTACTGGAAAAAGTTTGTTTCACGCAATAGTTTTAAATTAATTTATTCGTCGAATTTAACTTTCATATTGGCAATTATACTTTGATAGTAGTGTCACGACATTTGTAGTATTATTTTAGATTAATAACTAAATGTTATGAAATAATGTGCGAAATCCAATAAAAACAATTTATATTTAGGTAAAACCAATTAATGTTGACCTTTAGAGTTATGGTGCATTATTTTTAAAACGCATTTTCTGATGACGGTTGAATGCAAATATTTATTACCTAATTTAATACTATATCGATTAATGTAATTAATAATGATATACAATTATCTTTATTAGTTTTATAAGTAACGAATTAATAAGGTAGGTACATTTATAAATGGTACATTTACATTTTAAATATTAACTTAAATTGTTATTGTTTATCTATAAACAAATAGGTAATTTATATTTTATTTTTGATATTAAATAATACGTAAAGAAAATATATTAGTTATTATCTTATACTAATATTCTACATCCTAATTTATTTTTAAAAAAATATATAAATTAAAGTAATTTTAAATACATAAATACATCGTAAAGTGATATCAACATGAATTAAAATTTATATAGACAATAATACATGTTTAGTGTATATTATATTACTGTAAAAGTGAAGCTCAATAGATATATGATTTGAAGAAATTGTTGAATACTTATGCTGTGATATTTTCTTTGTTTCTAAGTATATACTTCTAACATTACTAATTTATACAAGATAAAATAAATACTTACTAAATACATATTTACTAATTAAAGAGTACACAATGGTACTATTTTTAAAGTATCATAGTACTCGTGGTATAAACATTTAAATCTTAGCAGATGTCTTTAGTAACAACAAAAATCCGAATCGTGACCAATTTAGCATTAATTACTCAAAAATATTTTCAAAGTATTCTGATATAATATTATGACCTCACTGTAGTTAAAAAACAACAAATGTAATGTCTCGCACTCTTAACGTGGCTAGATAAGTGGAACGTTATGTGACAAACTATATCAGGTCGCCAACTTATAGCCAAAACATTTGCCAGAACATATAGGATTTGTTATTCTTTTTTTCCTCTATTATTTTTAAATACATGGGAACAAGGATAAGATGTCAAGCGGTGAAAAACACACAAATTAAAGAAATAGTTAAAAAATTTTATTTTATTAAATTTGTGCCGAGAAAGCTTATTCTGGCGTAAAATTCGGACAAAATAAAATAAAAACAAAATACATTTAATGACAGTAATAATAAGGAGGATGACCTCGCGAGAGGCTGTAATCAGAATACGGACTTATATTTTTGTATCTCATGTTAATAATAACCATACCCTCGTGAATGACGCCGTGTCTGGGCTTCGGCCTTTTTAACTGCATAATACAAAATAATTTTACATATAGACAATAATAAAAAATAAAACAAAAAAAATGATACTGGCCAAAATATACTAAGATATTAATAATAATCATGAAAAACACATATCACCCTACGCCGCATTTAAAAAGGCGTTTTCTCGGAGACTCTCCAGTTCAGCCGACCATGGTGTTGTTACGACGGTGGATAAGACGAGACAAACACAGCCATGGTATTTCTAGCAATGACGACCGGATTTCTATTTTTATTAGCCCACCCCCCCCCCCCCCCCCAATGTGTAGTGGACATATGATTATAATAATTCCGGTCAATTACGCCACTTACGCAAAACGGGTTCGGAGACAGTAAAACGATGAATGGACCAGAATAATCCATAATACGCTCGGGTTGTCTTAATTCCGAATGCTCTGGACGGATGGATCTTGTCTCCTAATGATACCAATCATAGTATATTTAGAAAATAATTTTGGAGAACTAATTTCTGACCTAACATTGTATTCGGAATTGTATGGTTTTCTACGTTATTAAAGTTTGCACTTTAAATTTTTACTGTTTATTTATATCATATTATTCTATAAAATAAGTTTTAATTTACGTTGTATTAAGAAAAATATAAAATGTATAAACAATGTGTGTAGTTATTTTTTTGTATAACGTTAGAAAAAACCCTATGAATCATTTAATTATCAAACGGAAGTGCATACGAGAATTGTTTATAAAAAATAAAAAATGTTCTCTCTTTCAGACTAATCCATGACCTAACTTTTGAATATCATCCATTTTTTTTTAAAGTTTATGTAAAAATTAAGTATGAATTAAGTATAAAGCATGAACAAAATACTAAAATATATAATAAATAATAATCTTTATTTTATGTGGATATTTGATCATTTTTTTTTTTTTTTTTAAGTATTTAAAAAGGCAAGGAAGAAAAATAAAATAAAATTAACGTTTTTAAAAAAAAAATGAAGCATCATCTTACCATAGAAAAAATGTAGTACAATTAAAATATTATTTACCTTTTAATGTCATTTAAGTATATACAGTATATACATCAAACTTACTTAAGATATATGCACATTTTATTATTTTATGTTTATAAGAATTTATTTAGGGTAATATAAATCTTATATGTTTATTATTAATTTTTAACTTTTAACCTTTTGTTGTCTATGTTATTATTAAACTAAATACAAACGATTACATATTAATTTTAAATTATTATGATTATCGTCAATAACCAAAGTAGAGCTTTGAATTTGGGTACAGAATTTGTAATCATAAGTAAGAACAGGACAAAATACATTATAAAATATTTAAAAATATTTGTTTGGTACCTATAATGGTATCTATAATCTAATTTAAAAACCTTTGTGTGAGCGATGTCCCGAACAAGTCTTTTTGCTCGGGGTAACCAAGCTCCGATAAAAAGAGTGGACTGTATATATACACCTTTCTTATGTATATAAAAAATACAATCAAGTATATACAATATTATAATATATATTAACAAATGAAACATGTAATAAGAATAAAATAAAATAAAATAATAAATGAATAATTATAAATATAATAATAATTATTATATCAATAAATGAATAAAAAACAAATATTACCGCGTACTGTGCCACTGCAACAGCCGACGATAGATATTACATGGAAACCATCAACGTAACGTAAATAACAGGATATCACAAAATATACATGCAGCAACAACCAACACAAAGGAAATAATGACACACCGACCGGTCGCGGCGGTCCGCATATTTATATATCGGGTAAGGCAGCGTGAATAGGTCAGTGAAGGGAAGGGGTTTATTGTTATCTAGAAAAATTCGACCGTTATCTAGAATATTTGACTGTTAACGCGGTAATACGGATACATCAATAGAATGATCGAGAACCTTAATCATTCCCGAATTGTACCCAACAATCATATTAAATTATTTAACATCAAGATTTGAACGATTTAAACTAACAAATATTATGTATTATTTTATTAAAATATTTGATAATTTGAAATATTACATTTAATTACATTATATCGATTAAACATTATTAATGTATTATGTTGTCGTTCTTTCTGTTTAAAATTAAAAATACATTACACTTAAAAATAATATTTCTCACAAATAACAAATAATAATGATCTATAAGTGTTAAATAACAACATTTTTAGTTGTACATTCTTTTGCAATGGTTATAAGTGTAACACATAAAATATAATAATCGAATTATATATATATTTAATATTATAGTATATTTTTGATGAGTTAATGTGTTAAGCTATTTGTTATTAGTAATTTTAGTTTTTGATATGATCCATACTGATGTTTGTCATACCGGTAGTTGGACTTGTAATACATTTTATTAAGGTCATTAAAGTGTAAGTTTTCAAGTCTTATACTTTTATTCTTAGTTACATTAATTTTAAATAATATAAGTTAATAAATCACTATTTATGGACTTCAAGTTGTTAAATAAAAATCACAGTAAAATCAATACATTTTTACTGGATCCTGATAAACCTTCATTAAATGCAAGACAATTAATATATATATATATATATCTGAAGGGTAAGAACTATAATAATAATGATTGAAACAAGTTAAGAATAATTTTAAATTACAAATAATTATAAAAAAATATTAGAAAATAAAGGATATTTTGTGTATTGAAATTTCTTAAAATCAAAAAAAATATATAAATAAATAAATAGAATTAAAAATGATAAGAAAAATTATAGCTATTAAACTATTGATAAAATTAATCTTATAAAAACTTGTAAAACACCAAAAACAAATTAATTTATTAAATCGATAATATTTATGTTTTAGTAATACAAATCAAATATAATTTTTGTAATTTTGGAAGTAAATTTTTCGGACAATATTCAATAATTGAGTATTATTTTTTTTTTACTCGTTTACTTTTATCATAAAACTGTTTATATTAGTTTTTAGATATTTTTCTCGATAAATAATATATAATACTAGAAATTGTATTTAATGAAATGGATTGTTGGATTTAAAATTTAATCTCTCGTTGTTTTTTTTTTTTTTTTTTACTAGTAGTTATGAGTATAATACATATTTTATAAGATTATGAATTGGCCATAGAAATGTTAGTTGAAAAATATGTAAAATATTAGAATAAAGATTTTTTTTCTATCTAAACTTTGTCTTACTATAATATCATGAATTGAGATTGGTAATTATGTACTTTGTAACTTGTGCAAACTGAAGTCCGCAGAGTTCCTGTAAATATTATTTTTCCTCGACAGTTATTCCTAGAATAAATTAAGTTTTTGTTTATTCAATTTTTCATAACAATTTTAATTCTGGAAATGTAAATTTATATAAATATTTAGTGTAATTTAATAATATAGGATCTGTTTGTAAAAAAAAAAAAAAAAATTAGATTTAAAATAAAATACATATCAATGATATCAAACCTTTGAAATTCAACTCTTAATACTATTTTTTTAAAACCAATATAATATTTAATTAAATTAACTGATGCATTTAAGAGTTCAAATCCTTATTCCGTTTTCTCTTTATATAGCATAGTATATTATACTACTAAGTAGATTGTTGTATGAATGCTCTTCAGATAATAAGGAAGTTTTTAGTATCTCCGACACTTTAAAATATCTGTTCATTTGTTACACGTTCTGTCCGTTTTTTTTTAGTAACAGTATCATGAACGCAAAAAAGTTTTTTTCTATTTTTATCTAGTCTATGTACAACCACTATACAGTCTTGTATTTCTTACATAAATCATTAATTTGTCTATTATTTCCTTCCTATATTGAGTGCAGTCATTTCACTTTCAAGATAAATTGTGTACTCATTTACTTGTCTCAACATGTCAGGGGCGGATGCAGAAAAAAATTTCGGGGGAGGGGTTGAAAAAATAAGAATAATTATGGTTAGGCCCTTATTTAAAAATTTGGCGCCCCCGGGCATATTATTTATTCCCACATCCAAAAAAAAAAAAAAAAAAAAAAAAAATAAATAATAATAATAATATAACACTTATTATTTCGTCCATAACTCGAGTTCTTTAATATTGAAATATAACTTATAAATGAAAATTGACTTTTTTTAATTAACAAATTAAATAAATTATAACATAATAAAACATACTATTTTATTTTTTTTTCATTAGGTACATAATTTTTAAAATAAATTTTGCTAAAATATTTTACCACCCCTGAGACTTGACGTCCCCGGACATGTGCCTACTCGTGCCCTCTCTAAATACGGACTTGATTACTGTTATTTTGAAATAATTGATTATTGACTATAGATTGACTATTGTCGATCGTTTTCACATGACCATACAACACAATATTTAGGGAAACCGTCAATCACAATGTATCATTGTATATAATATTAAATAGATTACGTATATTTACTTATTTTTACTTACTGATAATAAGCGAATTACAAACACGCATTATTTTTACGAAGTATTGCCATCGTGGAATTTCAAAAATTTGAGTTTTAAGTACCAATACCTTTTAGAACGTTTAGAAAATTACAAATTATTACAAATTCACTTTTATCAACAAACAATTTTTTTTCAAGCATATTTTAATCGTATTTTAAACAATTCATTTTTTTTTAAGGTAAATAAGGTAGGATAACTAAGTTTTAAATTAATCATCCATTCATTTCGGGAGGGGGAGGGAATTTGAACTCCGAAAACCCCTCCCTGCGTCCGCCACTGCAACATGTCAATATTATTTAACTGTATTAACAGCTATGTCAATATAGTTACAGAAAAGTAATACATTATTCATTTTTTTCCATGATTGAACATGCTAAATGTAGGTATCTACAGGTACCTACTTCAATATCCGTTTGAAATTTTAAATTTGAGTAAAAATATGAATTATAACGTAAGCAAATATTTTTTATAAATAAGAAAAGAGGAAAAATAATAATTTTCCAGTGGAAAGTATAATTCATATATTTTTTGAATGATACACGTACATGAACATACATTGAATAAAGTCTAAATGCTGTTAAGGAAACATGTAAATTAATACATTTTGAAAAAAAAAATTACACTTGATGGAATTCTGTATTATTTTGTATTTTTATAATTCATAATAATTTATAGTTAGTAAAAATATTCACACTAGATTAGATAAATCGCACGTCACTCAAGTAGATTGATGACATATGTATGTGTGAAATTGATATACTCCGAAGTGTAATACTTTGTCACGAGACAGAGTATTTATTTTGTAAACTGCTTTTTTTTCATCAACAGAAAAAAATTAATCTATTTATTGGTTTACGAAACCACGAATATAAACTGTAAAGATATTTTTTAAATTGTTCGTCCCTTTTCTTGTAATTAAACAGTTCACCGTAAATAAAAAACCTTCTAAATGTCATCAAAATATTATTAAGTTATCAATTTCGTAAAGAACTAAAATAAAAGAACTTTAAGCGATAAAAGCAAGATAAGAAAATATCAACAAACATCATTATTAAATTAAAAATACTTGTCGTACTTGAAATCTGATTTACTTTGTTTTTCTTTTTGTATATTATTCAGCAAATTGTAAAAATGCACGTCGAAAATAATGCAATTCGATGTACGTTTCTAGTAAAAACAACTGACTTTAATCACTCACATGTATATCATTGAATATAAACACATTACCATGAATAAAATATTTCACTGGAAATAATTTTAATTATGTTCCATAATATTCCATAATAACTAGGCTTAGGGACTTCTAGCATTTGCATACTTTTTTAATTATTGTTAAATATAGCAGAGTACGAAATATGTGAAATATCACAATCGCCTCTTCGCCCACCCCCCCTAAAAGACGCCACTGCGATGAACCATTTTACATTTTGTACTATATGGTCATTTTTTTTTTAAATGCATATAAATGCATTTTATTATGCATATTTTAATGATTTTAGAAGCATATTTGCATAAATTTATGTATTTAATAGAGCTAAAGTCCCTAAGCGTACTTATAACAAAGTTATCTTTACTAACAGAGAAACGGACAAACATTTGTTTTATATTTTATTCAAGAAAAATAATATGAAAGGAAAAATATTTTTCGTATGCCAATAAGAATCTAACCCATTCTAAGATATGGTAGTAGTGACAAAATAAGTACTGGTGGTAATACACCTATAAAATCTAATAATATTTTGGATGAAAAGATCAATCTCATTATTAGAAAACATTTCAGAAAGCCATGTTTCAATTTTAACAATAATAATTAAATTAAAAGCAGATAAAATTTGAAATTAAATCGAATCGATTTGAAATCTATGGAAGTTTTGGTAGAAGCCAGAGATAAGGACATCATGAGTTGCTGTTGCTATAGCTGATTGGCTCGAAAATACTGATATGTGATCTCGTTTTTTTGAAATGGTAGCCCTAATTTCCAGAATATTTTTAGTAAAAATAACCATACAATTATCTCGACATTTTAAATAGCGTATTTATTTACTAACTTACAAGTTTTATTTTTCATCATCTCATTGACCTAGATTATTATTTTTCAATAAACTGTTAATTTTTCCTTTTACAAAATAGTATACAAATATAATAAAAATATTTTTAAATTAAATTTTCTTCAACTGCAACTATCAATATACTCGTATACATACGTATATGTACATACATGTACAAACTGTAAAATGTGAATTC